CCTTGAGCTGCAAATATATGGTCTTTGGAGCCAGATTTTCACATAATTTCCTTTTGGATTGGGTTGCTTCATGTAGTTTTTATGTGGAATCATTGAAACTCGGCCATGAATGTGACTGAACTTCTAAATATTAACTGGAATAAACACAGATGGGCAACTGCAATAGGACTGTGTAGATTGTCATGTACAATTTATTGCAGAAGATTACACATCTTCAAAAACAGCTACTTCATCATATCCCACTTAGACTTTCCAACATACTCCTTGCTGTTTTCCCCACCTCCGCAATTCACAAGCTGCAGCTGATTCCAAAACTCCCGGTGCGCCCTCATCCCCTGCCCTCTCTGGCTACCTTTAGTGGTCATGCTTTCAGGTCAAACACCACTAATGTGTGGAACTTTCTCCTTACAACAATAACTTGCATTTATACAGCGCCCTTCATCACATGGATAAATTTGGGATTGCTTCCTGACGGATCACTCTGTTGCAACTTTTTAGTCCTGCCTCAAATCCTACCTCTTTGACCGTGGCTATGGCCTCTCTTTCTCTCCCCAGCCCCTCCTTCCCAGCTCTTGTTCAGGGTCCAACCAAGTTCTTGTTGAGCATTCCATCTTTACCCAGGTGAAGGGTAAAGCAACTCTTGTATCTTTAAAATATAGAAACAAAACTATCTAAATATGCATTTATGGTCGGATTCTCCCTAATTTTTATTACTTTCCTGACCTAATGAAAGTGTCAGTGTATAGTGACCCATTTGGGCAATGACAAAATCTTTGAATTTTTTTGCTGAGCAGCATGTTCCAAATGATTCGCAGATTGCCATAGGCTGTAGGCGATTCCCCTGTGACTGCAGTACAGATCAATCAGTTTCTCGTCAGTGTCTGACAGATTTAATAGAGAACAAAGCCAAGCATCCACATTTATATTTTATAGACTTTTGGCTGTTAAGGAAATAATTTGCATCTATCCTCATTAACTGTAAGTCAGTGTTTTTTAACTACATTAACTTTTTAATGTAGTTTTAGTGAGGGGTTTTCCTGAAAAAAGAAAAAAATTGCCAGGGTATTAAATGTAACTTTTTATATCCTTTTCCTTACGTTTTATTTTGGCATTCACTTAACATAGTCTCTCGAGAGTGCAAATAAATTTTTGTTCAAGAATGTAGAAACAACAGCAGCAACGACTTGTGTGTGTTTGAGATTAAAAGATGGGAGTCGTATTATTAACAACCATATGTGTCTTCCAGCCTTTTTTTGGGTCAGCTGACACATGCGAAAACCCATCACCGTGCTTAAGAGTATCCAAACCAAACTGATGTGCACATGTGCATAATCAGATTTGGTGATTGCTGGTGTTGTAGCCCCAACTTCTGCATGTAAGCTCCATGCTGATAAATGGACATGTAGATGAATGGCATGCAGATAGATGAGCTGTCTACTATCGGGCGTTTTTAAATTGAATGCTAAAATTAGCAGAATGTCTTCTCCAATATTTCTCTTGGAACATGTAATAAAACAATTTTATTTATTTTCTAGAAGTCTCAAAGTGCTTCACAGAATATACTGTAATATGAATTGACTGTATATTTGTGGGCGAAAAGCGGCAGCCAATTACGCACAGCCGTGTCCGACAAAAAATCGTGGATTGAAGTGACCAATTTTTTATTATTGTTTTTTTTTCTTGAGGGATTATTATCAGGCGTGTGGAGAAAGGAAACTTCACTCTGCCAGGAATTGAACCCAGGTCTCTCATTTGTGAGGCAAGTGCTCTAACCACTGAGCTACAGGACTCCAATAGATAGTTTGGGACGTATGTGCATGCAACCACCAGGAAGGTGGAAGGCAAACTAGATGGACCTTGATCTTTTTTTATCTAGCTTTTCTTATGTTCTGTCCTGCTTATAGATGTTTTGATAAAACTATTGTTTGAAAATCAGTTTGTTTCCAACTACACTTTGCACTATTACAGTAGAGAACTTGATATCTGGACTAATTGGGACCAACACCATTGTGAATATGAAAACAATATAGAAAATAAATCTGTGTGTGTCTCTTTTTCTGCCAGTTCACTGCCAGTTCAGTCTGCTCGTTAAAATTATGATTCTTGACAATACAGTTTGACTTATATTCTGCATCGGCTCTCAGTGTGCACATAGTCAAGTATCCGAATGGTTAGTGTGTGGATATGCAACATTCTACCAGAACCATTGAAATATACAGCACAGAAGGAGGTCATTCAGCCGATGTGATGTGTCTGCGTTAGCTCTTTGAAAAGCAGTTCCTTCAGTCACATCTACCTTTTTTTTCCCCATAACCCCAAAAATTACTTTATACATATACTGTATGTCATTTTATTAAAAAAATCAGTCTAGAAGTGTTATTTCTCTTCATTTTGTCAGAGGAGCTGTTTCTGCCACTTTATTGCAAGTGCAAGGATTTACAGAGATTTAAAAGTGAAAGCAAAAGCTATAAATGGGAAAATAAGTCTGCATTTATACATTACAAAATGATATTTGTAAAGTGACTTTCACATTGGGAAAACGTCCTAAGACCTGAACAGTCAAGTGGGGGGGGGGCCGGGAAGCAGGGAGGGAGGTTGGAGGGTAGGAGTGTGGCCGAAGGCACGATCGAAGCAGGGCGTTGGCATAGTCGAGCCTGGTTGTAATGAAGGTATTTATGAGGGTTTCGGCGGCGTGAGGCAGTGGCGGAATTGGGCAGTGTTGCGGGAGTGAGGGAAGGCAGAACGGGTCATGGTACAGATGTGGGGAAGAATGTACAGTTGAGGGTCAAACAAGACGCCTAAGTTCCTGAATGGCTTGGTGAAGTGGAGTGTGCACTGCTTATAGTTTTAAAGGGATAAATTAACTGTTGAATGTTTTCTATTTGGTTTTATGCGAATAGCTTTGTTAATAATTTTTACTTCATATTTTTAGTCTGGTAATTCCTAGTGTGTATGGTATGTACAAATATAATTTACCTTATATTTTTCTGAAGTCGAGCCTGTTACCATTGCCTATTAGTAATGTACAATAACCAGTTTTGCCAGCTCTGGATGATGTTTGAAAAGCTGTAGATCCAGAGCAAGTAAGCCTGGCAACGTTCACATTCACTAGAACATTTTGATGCTCATTGGTATTTCATTTTCAGCAAAATGTTTGTACATGCATTAAACTTTCTTCAATTTGCTTGTCATGCAATAATAGTTGAATTGTGGGAGGACCAAGGACTCAATTTTCAGTCGAATCTCTCGGCTTCAGCTGCCATTATTTGCATAGTAGAGAAAACCCAAAAAAACATTCTTTGTGTATGTCTGAACATAAAGACACCCACACATATTTGACATCATTTCACATGGGGTCTTTAGATGCCATATAAAAACCTTCAATCTGATCATCAGTACTCCGAAACCCCTTGAGGTCTACAATATAAAATCGATTGAGCAGAACAATTCATACACAGCAGTTGTTTGACCGTGCAGTTCTCTTTGACCGTGCCTTCAGCTCCCCTCTCGACTCTCTTCCTCCTCCTCGCTCCCTCCCTTCCCTCCCCTCACCCTGACCATTTCCCCCCTCCTCTCTCCCTCCCTCCCTTCCCTCCCCTCACCCTGACCATTTCCCCCCTGCTCGGGTCATGACCCAACTGTGCAGCGCCTTGGGACGTCCTCCTGACGTGAAAGGCGCTCTATAAATGGAATCTTGTTGTTGTTGTTGTTAAACTCTCAGAGATGCACCCTGACATGGCTAATATTCCAAGGGCTGCGGATTCTACTTACAGAAACTATTAGCACTTTAAACAAGAACAGTACAGAAATCCAAGTCCAAGTTAGTAAAGCATCTCCTGCTTCTGTTCTGCCTTTTATGTGCCACAGTATGTAAACAAATAGTGGAATGTATCTGTTTGAAATTTAGAAATTCACCAATCGCAGCTAAATTTAAATGACTTGTTCCTTGCCAATAAGCTTTGTTTTTAGACTTGTTCAGATGTTAGCAGATGCAAATCCCTATGTCCCAAGTGCTGTTTGACTTCACCGGAAGAGGGTTTGAACTATAGTCAAGTTGATTATAAAAGTTAGACAAGTAATATGGTGCTTCAGTTAATACTGGATTCTGAAGCTTGATGGGAACAAGAAGTTTGAATTCAAGTCACGTATCCACTGTGACTCCTGAGTTTGTCCATTTCAGTTGTATCCTCTGGATACAGGGCAACATAGAGGATGCTTTCTCAGGTGTTTCCATTGAATGGACTAGTGAATTCACAGGCTTTATACCATTTATTAGGGATTATTTCACTCACAGACTAAAGCACCATTCGTCGATGCTGTAAAATGTGTTGAATTCAATATCAAATTTACAAGTGATGATTTTCACTTTTTTTCCCAAAGGCATTTTATGTTTGTGAGATGAAGGTTTTGTTAATTGTGAGAAACTTTGCTCAGAGCAAAGTGTAGATTTCAAGAGCAAGTAAAGAAATGTGATAGATATGCATCTGAATCTTCATATATTATGATGTGCTGTTAGAAGATCAAACAGTTAATATGCATTGTAAAATTGTATTCATTATTAAAACTTAATTCAAATGAAATGCAGGGAAAGTGACAAGCAGTTATAATCCTTGCATTTGATTTAGCGCTTTTCACGTCTTCTCGACATCAAAGCGCTTCACAGAATATGCTGTAAAGTGAATTGACTGTATATTTGTGGGCGAAACGCGGCAGCTAATTGCGCACAGCAGTGTCCCACAAACAATCGTGGATTGAAAATGACCAATGTATTATTGTTTTGTTTTGGAGGGATTATTATTAGGCGTGTGGAGTAAGGAAACTTGCCCAAGGTTTCACTCTGCCTGGAATTGAACCCAGGTATTTCGCTTGCAAGGCAAGCGCTCTAACCACTCAGCTACAGGACTCCACGAGGCGTCCATTAGGCGTGTGGAGCAAGGAAACTTGCCCAGGGTTTCGCCCTGCCTTATTTTTCTTAATGCTTGACTTTTTTAATACTTTAGTGCCATGCGAGTGTTGCTTTCTAAACTCCCAAGACCATGGATTGTGGATGAGAAGAAGGACGATGGCTACACTGCACTACATTTAGCAGCACTGAACAATCATGTCGAAGTAGCAGAATTATTGGTGCACCAGGTATGGACTTGCATGTCATTTCAGTGCTGAAAATTCTCATTTAATTTTTACAATCTGATGACCAACAGCAACCTTACTTCTAAAAGAAATTCAACGGAACAGTCCAGCTGGGACTACATGTTTGCTGTAGATTCATTGATGGGTGATTGCCCACTGACAACAAGACTTGTTTTTAAATGAAAATTCCACACTCTAGTTGTTTTGTATCAGGTTCACTGTCTTGAAATCAAACCGCTAGTGTTTTATATTCTGCTCCCATATCCATATTTTGTTGTTGTCTATTGCCCAGAGTTAATCATGACAAGCTTGCTACCGCAGCTGTTTTCACATCAGGAAGATGTCTCAAAGTGCTTCACAGGATATAAAGTACAGCGTAGTGGCTGTTGGTCTTCCAAAATACACATTTGCCTACAAAATAAACAATTTGCACACAGCAATGTTCCAGCAATGAAGTGAATAACCTTGCATTCATCCCGTCTAGGCTAGACTATGCTAACTCTTCCCAGCTTGTCGGCCTTCTCAACTCTTCCCTCCACAAGTTGCAGATCATTCAGAACCCTGCAGCTTGTGTTCTCTCTCACACCTTGCTCTGTGACCCTATCACCCCCATTCTCGCCTGGCTCCTCAACCCCTTGAGGATAGAGTTCAAAGTCCTTGCCTTAAAAGCCTTTCCTACCTCGGTGACCTGCTAACCCCATATCAACCTGCTTGCTCAGTGGACTCCATCCTGGACTGCTTGCCTACCATTAGCGGTCGGGCTTTCAGCTTCTCTGCCCCCACGCTTTGGAACTCCATCCCACGTTCCCTTTGTCTCGCTCCCTCGCCTTCTTCAAGGCACATCTTAATGATGTCCCTCCTCTGCAACCGGGCCTTCGGTCACCCTCCCAGTCCTCTACCTTTCCTGATCACAATCCCAAACTCGGGTCCAAACCCCTAACTGTCCAGCGCCTTGGGATGTCCTCCTGATATGAAAGGTGCTATACAAATGTAATTTGTTGTTGTTGAATTACCTTTTTATTTTAAGGATGGTTGGCCAGAATTCTCTTCTCTCTTTGTGTATTCAATGCACTTATATATAAAACCTAAAATTCTTATCTTATGTGTTAATGAATTCTTCAATCTGTGGACTGTCGGAATGAAGTCTTATCTCCCCAACCTTATCATGAACTAGCACTCCCATCTGTAATGATGCTAATTGGCAGCCTCTGATCCTTCAGTGTTAGATTAACTTGGCTGATTTAGCTCAAATCATAACAATGTGCATTTATTTAACACTTTTGCTTCTGGGTTCAAGATTGTAGGTGCAAGCTGTACATTATTTCAAGTACATGGCCTTGCTCAATCGTTCTACCACCTCCTACAACCCTACTGACCCAGCCTCTCTCTTCACTCAAACACCAGCCTGCTTCAGGTTCCTTGCCATATGTGGTCCTTATCGGTGGGTGAGCTTTGAGCCCTTCTGCCTCTCATCTCTGGAACTCCATCCCATAGTCCCTAAGACTCGCCCTCCGTCCCCACTTTAAAAACCCATCTTGCCTCTTCCACTGCACTTTCGGTCATCTTCCAACCCATCTCCCCTGCAGCTCACTTTGAGAAGTATTCCCAGTATGAAAGTTGCTACGTAAATTGTAATGTATTGCCTAAGCTGACACTTCAGTACAATTTTAGAGTAGTGCTGCATTGCTGAAAATGGTGTTTGGATGACATCTTAAACAAAGGTCTGGTTAAAGATATGACCCTGTACAGCTTACCAATTAGCATCCAGCCCTGCCTATCACTCTCCGGAGGCAGCAAGAAGTTGACGGGAAGTGAGTCATACCTCCCACTCCACTTCTCTTCCCATCGCTCTCCGCGCTGCCTCAGGATGAGTCATATCTCCCGCAATTGAGGTAAGGCGGAGAGCAAAGAAAGAGAGGTTGAATGGAGGGTATGACTCGTACCTCCCACTCTGGCTCTCTTTCGATCGTTCTCCACACTACCTCTTACAAGGTTGTACAAGACATGAGACAGAGCAGGAGGTATGAGAAGAGAGATGGCGTGGATATAACTGGACACCATCTAGGCAATGTGAGTAATTTGCTGACTTTCATTTACTAATTGGTTAAAATTTAAAATGACCATGTAATGGTTTTAATTGTTTTAAATCATTTGGTCATTGCCTGTCCACCATAAGCTGGAGCTCACCCAAATTTCAATTCCAAGCTAAGTCACTGAGACTGGATGTCTCAAAGCACATTGCAAAGATAACATCGACAACTTGCATTTATATAGTGCCCTTCATGCAGGGTAGAGTTTCAAAGCTCTTAGATAGGAGCCAATGAGCTCCGATTGGCAAAGTCTTATGGTGAAGGATTGTTATCCTGATACTGATTACTATCCATAATACTGAGCTCACATTGGCAAAGTCTCAAGTCTGATTGGCAAAGTCTCAAAGCACTTCACAGGATATACTGTAAAGTGGATTGACTGTTGTTTTGTGGCTGAAAAAACTCCCTGCGCCTGTAAAGCCCCCCCCCCCTTTCATTAAAGAGTGATCTAATCATAACTATATGGTGAATAACAGTCAAGTGATAAAACTGAATTAAAGGTAATTAATCAAACTTTATTGGGCTATTTCTATGGCTTATTTTGCTTGATCAAGTTGAAGGTTCATTGGTTGTTTACTCATGGCCATTAAAGTTTGCTTGAGTGGCAGAGCAGAGCATATCTTTGTGAACTTCATGTGAAAATGTTATTTTCAGTGTTCTCGCAGCAAATGGCTTCTCCTCCAGCCCCCGCACCGTCTCGTGCGGTGTCCCTCAGGGCTCTGTCCTGTGTCCCCTCCTCTTCACCCTCTACGTGCTCCTCCTTGGAGACATCATCCACAGACATGGGGTAAATTTCCACATGTATGTGGATGACACCCAACTCTATCTCTCTGCCTCCACCCTCAACTCCAGGACTACTGGTGTCCTGACCAACTGCCTGTCCGAAGTCAAGTCCTGGACAAGGGACAACTTTCTCCAACTCAACGTCAGCAAGACCGAGGTCATGCCGATTGGCTCACGCCAGCAACTCCGCACCTCGGGCGCTGGCAGCATCAGCCTCCACGGCTGCACATTCAACCTCACTAAGCCAGTCAGGAACCTGTGTGTCTTATTTGACCCTGAACTGTCCTTTCTCTCCCACATCCGCGCCATGACCAGCACTGTCTACCACCACCTCCACAACATTGCCAGACTCTGCCACTGCCTCACCCCTCAGGCTGCCGAAACCCTCACCCATGCATTTGTCACATCAAGGCTCGATTACGGGAACTCCCTCCTCGTCGTCCTTCCCAACTCTTCCCTCCACAAGCTGCAGATCATCCAAAACTCTGCAGCTTGTGTACTGTCGCGCACCAGGCTCCGTGACCCCATCACTCCCACCCTCAACTGACTCAACTGGCTCCCCATCCCCCAGAGGATCGAGTTCAAGATCCTCGTCCTCACTTTCAAGGCCATCCATGGCCTTGCCCCCTCCTACCTCTCTGATCTGCTGACTCCCTACCAACCTGCCCGCTCCCTCCGTTCAGCGGGCTCCAGTCTGCTCCATGTTTCCCGCCCGACCCGCCCTACCATCAGTGGCCAGGCTTTCAACCTCTCTGCCTCCACACTCTGTAACTCCATCCCACGGTCCCTTCGCCTCGCTTCCTCCCTTGCCTACTTCAAGGCCGGTCTCAAGACCCTTCTCTTCGATCGTGCCTTTGGTCGCCCTCCCACCTCTCTGCCTTCCCTCACCCCTATACCACCCCTCCCCCATGCTCGGGCCCCGACACCTGACTGTTCAGCGCTTTAGGACATCCTCCCTACGTGAAAAGTGCTCTATAAATGTATTTTTGTTCTTGTTTTCTTTAAGATGAAAGGTCTTTGAGTTTCTTAGAAAGATGTTAACACACAATGCTGTGTGAAAGCATGAAGACTGTATGATCCACTCGCTATTACAGCATTCAAGCTGTCCATGTTATGTCTGTGCTTCAGACTATCATTTTAATGTAAATTTTCTAAACACATATAGTATAGTGGATTCCTAAGTGGAAGGGGTTCAAAAGAATTGATCTTGGACGTGAAACTCAATATTCAGAGTTTTTAATCTTGAGCTAGTTTAATCAAAAGGAAGCATGCATGGGTAAGTCTGTTTAATTAAAGATTCAGTGAGTTGAAAAGCTTTCTGGAAGATATGTGTACTGTCACAGCATATGCTGTCAAATAACTTGCTTTGTAGAGTATGTGGAGTTAAGCCTAAAATGTGCTCTTTGAGTGTATCAGAACCGCTTTAAATCTATCTTGTGCTGCATTTATTTACAGTGTAGGAATTTAATTTATTTCCATAATTGAATAGAAGCTACTAACATCAATTTAGAGTTGTATGCAAGCATAGCACCACAAAATTGTTTTTTGTTTAAAAAAAATGCTTTCTTGCAAACCTTTCCGTTGTTGATCTATCTTCCATTTAAATAAATACTTCTTGGAGTCTCTCCTAAAACTGCCCTTCACAATCTTGAATTTGCCTTTTCTACTGCCTTGGCATGTTGTTTAAATGTTCTTGGGCAATCAATTCAACTAGCTACCAGCTGCGAGTGTTCAAAGACCATAATAATAATAATAATAATAATAATAATAATCTTTGCATTTGATATAGCGCTTTTCACGTCGGGAGGACGTCCCAAAGCGCTTCACAGAACACACTAAAGTGAATTGACGGGAAGGACATTAATTCACAAATGCTGAATTCATACTTTTGTGGGATGAATTCAAATGCTGAGACCACCTTCTGAAGGAACGAGTTTCTCGGGCTATCATCCTGATGTAGTCAGGATCACTGCCAGAATTGTGACAGATTTTCTTGATGCGTGTACCTACAAGTACATCAGTCTGCTCAGTTGAATAATTCATTTTAAAATGTCTATTTTACCCAAAAAAACTTTTGCTGAAAGCAAATTTGACAATTAGTAATTCTGGAAATGCAAACGTTTGCATTTAATTCAGGATTTTCGCTACATAAAAACTTGAGGTAGCAAGTAACTACAGATTATAGAATGAGCACTGAAAAATGATCATTCTCAACAATGTTATCTGAGACAAAGGATATGTTGGTCTCAGATTACATTACTTATGCAAGATCATAAATGCTGACATTTTTCTGTTTCAGGGCAGTGCTAACCTGGATATCCAGAATGTAAATCAGCAAACTGCACTCCATCTAGCTGTTGAACGTCAGCACACCCAAATTGTGCGGGTAAGATGACCAAAAGTACAAGGGACAGCACTCTGCTGGAATACTTTTTTTAAAAGATGCATAATTCCTTAATTTAAGATTAAATATTGTAGTAGTGGAGGAAATTAATTTGAGGAAGTAGAATGATTTGTAATTGGTTACATTATTATTTGAGTGCCCTGATGCCAATGCCAATTGAGTTCAATGTAGTTGTAATACAAACTCCATTCAAGATGTATATGATATCTGTGGATTTCTAATTATTTGAGCGAGATTTTGTCTAACTTGTTAATATAGCCTGTATTCCATGACCCACATCCTCGCCAGGCTGCACTGGCTCACCATCCCCCAGAGGACTGAGTTCAAGATCCTCTTCCTCACTTTTAAATCCCACCCCACTCCCCCCACTTGGCATGCACTTGCCTGCTTCACTTCCCCGCCCTGCCTGCTATACCATTAGCAATCAAACTTTCAACCTATTTACACCAGTTCTGCAACTCCGTTCTAGAGTCCCTTGCCTCGCCTCCTTGAAAGTTCATCTCAAGACCTTTTTCTTTGACTGTACCTTTTTCTTTGACTGGTCATCTTCCTCCCCCACCCCCATTGGCCCCAGCCCACCTGAATCCAACCCCGAGCTTGAGTGCAAACCCTCAACTGTCCAGCGCCTTGGATTGTCCTCCCAACGAGACAGGCACTATATAAATGCAAGTTGCTGTGTTCAACTTTTTATTGGAATGTGTTGTAAATATTATTCTGATTTTTTTTCATATAAAAAGGATGCTTGTAATTTGTTTTCCTCTTTTTATTTGCCTCTCTAAAAAATATAAGGGTGCTTTCGTGCTTTTGTTGCAGAAAATTATACTTTTGGTAAATAGCCCTACATTGAAAAAGAACAAACAGATATTTTTACACAAATTTTGTGTTATTAATTTATAATTGAGAGCGCAAAGCTGGTCCAAAGTGGAGATGGTTTACATGGAAGTGACTTCCTAAACATGCATACAAGCTATGTTGTTAGATGAAGGTATCAAAGTGAGGCATGTTTGTCCACAACATGGAAGGAAAGGCCTTCCATGCTGCTCTTATGAATCTGACAACAATTTGCTGGAGAAGCGTAGCCATATACCTGGGAGGAAGTTTCCTGAGTCCTTTCTAGCATCCCATCGCTAAAACTGAGAACATCTCTTTTGTAAAGAAGAACAAATGCTGAGGAAGGCAAGCTTGCAATATGAAAACAATGTCACAATTTCATAACATTTAACATACCACTGAAAGCTATGATCTCATTATCAGTAATAATTTGGGAATTTGATTTGATGAGAATGACTTGGAGATTTTAAGAAAGGAACTTTTTTTTTAAGACTGATGTAAAATTCTTTTACCTTTTAGCTCCTGGTTCGTGCTGGTGCAAAGCTGGACATCCAGGATAAGGATGGAGACACACCACTCCATGAAGCCCTGAGACACCATACTCTATCTCAGCTCCGCCAGCTCCAAGATATGCAGGATGTGGGCAAGGTGGATAGTGGCTGGGAGCCCTCAAAGAACACAGTAAGTATTTTTTTTCTAGCTTCTTAGTATTGTCCAAAAATCTAGATCATTTATGAATGTCTGCTCTTTTGCGTACCTGTGTTAGCAATTCTCCATTTTTGAATTCCTGATTTGAAGCTGCTCTTCTGCCGAGAAGAATTGAGTCATGCACCTTTCACTTCTTACACATCCAAATTCTCTTCTTGTCCTTCAAAAAATTCTGAGTGGCTGCTCAATCAATATCTGTAAAATAGATATTCTAGGAAGCTGGAGGTGTCACAGCCCCCTTTGTTCTCAGAAACTAGTCCAGTATGATTGCTAATATACTAGTTTATGACTCTTGTGAGGTTGCATTAGTCTTCCAATAACATTTCCTGAATACATATTCAGCTGTGAGAGAGCTATTTATGAAGGCAAATAGAGTGGACATTTGGGAGAGGTTTAGGTGGCTATTGGGAATTAAAACTCCTATGACGTTTTAAAGATGTTCGGGAGACCACAGAGTGAGAAAATGAACACACATAAGAATGCCAATACCTTTGGCACTTAATTAACTAGGATAAGATTAAAATAATTGGATAGAAAAGATGGACATTTAGGCATGTGTGACATATTGTGGAGTCCTGTAGCTCAGTGGTTAGAGCACTTGCCTCGCAAGCGAGAGATCTGGGTTCGATTCTCGGCAGGGTGAAAAGGTGGGCAAATTTTCTTACTCCACACATCTCTTTACATAGCAGTAAGTAGAAACCCGGGTGTTAGTCGATTGGCAGATCACTTTGCCGGGGGTAATAATTCCTTCAAAACAAAATAATAATAAATTGGTCACTCAATCCACGACTATTTGTGGGACACTGCTGTGTGCAATTGGCTGCCGCGTTTCGCCCACAAATTATACAGTCAATTCACTTTACAGTATATTCTGCGAAGTGCTTTGAGACATCTCGAAGATGTGATAAGGTGCTATATAAAATGCAAGGATTATTGTTTATTAGAACATGATCAGTATGAATTATAAATCCTTCGAAGGTTTGATGATGGAGGAAGAGTAGAATCCTTTTTTCCTCTACAGTGGAATTTGATTTGAAGTTAAAATGTACAGATTTGTATCAATTTGAAAAAATACACAATGATTTATGTACTTTAGATCCTGGGTTTTCAAACTGTGAGGCACACCCTACTGAGGGGGTGCTCCAAGCTTATCAGGAGTCCTGGTAGGATTACCACCTCGTTGATTTTTAACCAGCTTGGCCAGATTTTGTACTTCCTTGCCAGTTGCTAGCTTTTTACACTGCTGGGATGCTTGTGAGAGAGAGAGAGCACGTCACTGGACAGAAAAACGAGATGAGAGTGCCAGCTCAGGGTAGGGCTACAGCATGGGATGTGAGGCTGGGAGAGAACCCGGCAACGCACATGCGAGGCTTTGTGCTGCGAAGGTGTTCGGATGAAAGTTAAGGTGGTTGAAATTTTCTTCCCGTGTCCCCCTTTTTAGTAATTGGCTGCAGTAAAAAAAGAAAGTTCTCCAACATGCACTTTAATGATAATAATCTTTGCATATATTATAGTGTCGGTTATTTCAAGCAGTTCTTTAACGATTGCGTTCATTTCGAGAAGTACTGTGTAGTTTTAAGTCTGCTTCTAACCTTAAGGAACAGCAGGTTTTTTTTATTTTAAATTGCTCTAGTTGTGGGAGGTCTTTAGAATATTGAACCCCCAAAACTTTGATCGCAGGTCATTTTGAGTCATGTCCAATAGAACTGTGAATGACCCAGACGGTGTATCAACAGGGAAATTAGGTTAACCCGGCGGGCAGCTGGAACACATAGCTGCTGGCTGAATCTCCCCACTGGCATGAACCCAAAATGGCAGGCCTGGTGAAGGAGATTTATAGAGTATTCTGACTAACACTTAAAAGCCTCAAAGATAAAAAGATTTGATAAGCATATTTCCTCTCTAATATGCATCACAAACCACAATATTCTTTGGAATTGGTTGCCAAGATGTACATACTTTGTTTAAAGGACATTTATTTAATGATCACTTCAGCTGACTTAACATTACAAAAAGATGAATGCCTTTTTCTCTTGATCCATCTATTGATCATGCAACTTCTGGCCAGTGGTGTAGCAATCTTGCACAAGTGCAAACAAATTTAAGTTTATTAAGGAGAAGCTTTTTTTTAAATTGAATTCAAAGCAACCATTCTGCCATGGTGAATGATCATTTTGAAGACTGTCAGATTTGGGAATATTGTGAATTTCACAGCGTTTTATAAAGTCGTTCAATCCTTTCTTTCAGTAGGGTTTTGTTTCTGATATTTGCAAAATAGATATTTGCTGCATGGGTGAGGAAGACAGAGAGCACACACCCATGTCCCTGAGTTATCCATTTTGCTCTTCAAACTCTTTTTTGCAGCTTTGGCAGTTTTCACAGATCATTCTGGTCAACCAAGGAGACTGCAGGAAGGCTTTGTACTTCTTTTGTGAATGTTGCAAATTAGACCCACTATATGGAAGAGTGCAAACGGGAAATGTCAAGAGCAGTATCTCTTTAACATCATGCGAGAGGTTTAGAAGAAGTTCTTTTGCCCGTTTGATCATTTTTTCAGAATAGTATCTTCCCATTGGAGGGTCAAGCTGTTTCGTAAAGGAGCCCAGTGTTCTGGCCTCAACCATTATCTGTTGATGACCTTCTGTAAAGAAATGCTTTCCAGTGTTTGTCTTGCCCTTGACTCCATTGACTCATTGCCTCTTACCCCATTGCTTCTCTGTGTCTGAAAGTATTGTTCTCGGTTTTCTTTCTCTAACCCTTTTTAGTATCTTATATTTAGCATTTTCTGAGATCCCCTCTGAGATCTTCCTTTGGAAATGTTATGCTCATTGGAGTGAGGGGTGTTCGTTTTGGGGAAATGGGGGACTTTCTCAATTCAGGTACCTAGTTCCAACATTGCTTACTTCCAGTATAGCTATAAATAGCTGGTTAGATACTGGTTAGATGGTTAGATACTGAACTGAAGCAGTACATTCTGTGTCAAACTTATGCTTTATATTAGCCTCAGTTGTGGGGTAATTTTGCTAATGTGTGTTCTGGCTTCTTTGTGTCTGCGTTCTTCCTTTGTTGCTCTTCATCCTTCTGTTGTAAATGATAGGGCCCCATTTAAAAGCTAGTACAGTACTTTCTTTTGAGGGTGAGTCAGTCTGCCAACAGTCAAAGGTGTTCAAAGATCATTTCTCATCTTCAACCTTAGGCAGAATATGATTTTGGCAGCAGTCTGGTTGCTGTTTTTGTTGTCTTTTAACCAGATCTAATATCTGCCGCAGTGCACATTATAGTGTTTATTTGTTTATATATATGTATATGTGTGTGTACGTATATATATACTAAAGAAACTTTTATTTTTACACAAATAGTAATGTGAATGGCACTGGTACACATGGGCTTAGGTATACAAATACTATTGAAACACCTTTCTAATAACTTTATGACAATTATTGCTTTTTTACAGGGAACTTCAGAATAAGTAGTAGTGCAGTTGTGTGGGCATCTTCTGTAGCCTTCAATCAGTGCATCTTGTACACTGCAGGAAATAAATGTGCGATTATCTTTATATAGATGTTTAACTCTATCCCATTTGAATGTTTAACTGCTATGCGCAATTGGCTGCCGCATTTTGTCCACAAATATACAGTCAATTCACTTTAAGGCATATTCTGTGAAGCGCTTTGAGACGTCTAGAAGGCGTGAAAAGCACTATATCAAATGCAAGGATTATTATTATTATTTATTGTGGATTACTGTTAAAATAAAATGCTTACATATTTGCCATTTTATGCATAAAATGCATGGTTCAAATAGACTGATTGTTGCAGTGAGTTGACCCATTAAATGTCAAGAAAATAGTTTTAGTTTGTACCCATATTTTATTTGACTAATAAACACTGGGTTGTGACCTGAAAAACTACTGAAGATCTAATCTTTGAGATTTTGGTTATACAGGGTGATCAAAAAGTCGAGATAACGCCCCTATTATCCAAAACAAACTAAAAATATCAACATTTCTTTAAGACTTATTAGAAATTGTAATGCTATCACAACTTTTTGGTCAACCTATAGTAGTGGGCTTTGAAAAGCATTTGTAAATATTTTCTCTTTCAGCTACTTATGGGCCTTGGGACCCAGGGTGCAGATAAAAAGAGTGCAGCTTCCATTGCTTGCTTCCTCGCAGCCAACGGAGCAGACTTAACTATTCGCAACAAGAAAGGACAATCTCCACTTGATCTTTGCCCTGATCCAAACCTCTGCAAGGCCCTAGCGAAATGTCACAAAGAGAAAGTCAGGTATGCATACTGATTTTAGTCTGGGGACATTCAGACTAACTAAAAGGAGATAATGCAGTTCACCAATTGAATTAAGCGTGCACGAGTGGTAAAGGTAATTAATTGTTTAAGTGCAGTCATTCGTGCTGGTTTGTAACTAAAATTGTACTTGGTAACTCTTGCTGATAAAAATAGGTACGTCACACTGACCTGTGGGAACTCTGCTTCGAGACATGGGGTGGGTGTATTCCAGTCTAGCAAACCGACATTTCTGGCTAAGTGTAAAAATGCTGATTATCAACATTGTAATTGTTTGAATCCTACAAACAAGAGAGTGGACAATCTAGAAGTGTTGGGAGTCCACACAAGGCCTCACGGAAACTTTTAAAAATGTTTTGGTTTCAGGCCTGGTCTGGCTAGGTTGGATTTCCGGATACCCAGAGTCCAGTGAGCCAAGGATTTACCATAGTTGTTTCCTTCAATCCAAAAATTCCTCTGCAAATTTCTACTCTCAAGCTTGGAAATGTTAAAAACACAGACTCACTTGTGAACATTAAACTTAATACTTGAAAGAGAAAAATATTTCAATTTAGTCAATTGGCAGATACTTTTCCAGGGAGTAATAATCCCTTCCAAAAAAAATAATTTGGTCATTCAATCCATGACTGTTAGTGGGACACTGCTGTGCACAATTGGCTGCTGCATTTCACCCACAAAATGTACAGTCAATTCACTTTACAGCATATTCCGTGAAGCACTTTGAGACATTTCGAAGATCTAATAAGGAACTATATCAAATACAAGGATTATTATTATTAATTTTATAAATGCATTAAAATAACATTTTATAAACTCACCCATGTTGCAGAATTTTTGTTATTTTTGAATTCAAAAACTCATCAGAATAAAGGATAGAATGTGCATCCCTTCTGGTCAAGGTCTATGTTTTGGGTATTAAGCCATTATGTTCAGCATATCATCCCTGCCCTCACATTGCATACTTCACAAAGTAAAAAAAAACACTTATTTTGTACACATTGTATGACTCTGAAGATGTGAGGGGACCTTGCTGAAGTACATACTCCCTATGACTGTGAAGTACAGTACTCATTAAAATGTGATTTGAACTTGACCTCAACTGGAAAAGGATTGAGGTGTAATGGGAATTTTAAATGGAATATTTTGCTTCTTTCAGTGGACAAGTGGGATCCCGCAGTCCTTCTATGATTAACAACGACACAGAAACATTGGAAGAATGCATGGTGTGTTCAGATATGAAACGTGACACGTTATTTGGACCTTGTGGCCACATTGCAACGTGTTCTCTTTGTTCACCACGTGTTAAAAAGTGCCTCATATGTAAGGACCACGTTCAGTCTCGAACAAAGGTATAGAGTGCATTTCTTTGTTTATTAACTCCTTTCAGAACACTGCTCATACTTTTTAATCTATTTTGACCAATTAGGTGTGTACGAACAATTCACCCTTCAAGGGAGACTGACTATTGGTGCTTGTCTGTAATCTAGAGCTAATTTTCTTCAGTTGAACGTCAACAAGATTGAAGCTCTCCTGAATGACTCCCGTCAGCGCCTCCACACTTCACCATCCATAGATGCACACTCTAGCTTATTAAACCAGTCCGGAACCTTGACGTCTTGTTTGACCCTCAGCTATCCTTTCTACCACACATCTGTGCCATGATCTGCTCTGCCTTCCCCCACCTCTGCAACACCGCCCGCCTCCGCCACTGTCTCACGCCGCAGGCCCCCGAAACCCTCATACACACATTCATACCTGAAGGCTTGACTATGCAAACTTCTTGCTTGTTGGCCTCCCCAACTCCTCCCTCTATAGACTGCAGATCATCCAGAACTCTGCAGCCCATGTCCTCTCTCCTGCACCAAGCTCCATGACCCTATCACCCCCATCCTCGTCCGACTCCACTTGCTTCCCATCACACAGAGGATACAGTTCAAGATCCTGGTCCTGCTTTCAAAGCTCTCCATGGTCTTGTTCCCCCCCCCCACATCTGCGACCTCCTAACACCCTACCACCCTGCTCACTCCCTCTGCCTTGAGACGTCCTCCCGATGTGAAAAGCACTAAACAAATGTAATTTTGTTGTTGTTGTATTCAGCTTCTGGGAGGCACACCAGAGTACCTCAGAGATAAGGTTGCATGAATGTTTGTGATTATATAAAATTATGTTGCTTGCTTTTTCTCGTGATGTGGGTACTAAACAGTGGAGAATATGGATGCAAATATTTGCTTTGGTGCACCAATCTGCTGCACAGAATGATTTTGTATGTCTTTAACGTCACCTAGGTTGAGTACATTTTCTAAAACCTCATTGTGTGCAATTATAAAACTGTTCACATCACAGAATGTGTTGTACTGTCCATAAGACAATAAATAACACACAAATGAGCTTTTAATCCCTTTTTTTGGGTGTTTCCGATCTAAGCAGATGTTAATTAATAAATCTTGCTGTACTTTTTTCACTCTGATTATCTTATAGTAAAATATGCTTATTCAGAAAAATTGAAATTGCCAGTTACATCTTAAATTCCAAACTAAAATAAACCAATGTACCATTTGATTACCTGCAGATTGAGGAATGTGTGGTATGTTCTGATAAGAAGGCAGCAGTACTTTTTCAGACTTGTGGTCACATGTGCGCCTGTGAGAGTGAGTATATCTGTTTAATCTACAAATGTAAAATGGGATCAAGGACTTTGAGTCCACAAGATAGTCACATTACTTTACAGAATATTCTGTGAAAAGCTTTGAGACTTCTCGACAATATGATAAACTGCTATATCAAATGCAAGGATTAATTTTTTTATAATTATTAAGATTAGACTGACATTTTAATACACTGCTGGGGGAGTGTCTCATTGTTAAAAGGTGATGGCCTTCAGATCAGATGTTAAGCCAACGTCGCAGCTGAGGCCTGGTCAGTTCAGCAAAATAAAATCCCATATAAAGAAAAGGCAGTTTCTCCTGTTGTCCTGGTCAACAATCCCCCCAATAAAATTGGTCATTCACTTCATGGCTGTTTATGGGACATTGCTGTGTGCAAATTCGCTACAGGCTATGCCTACGAAATGTACAGTGACTACACTTTATAGTAAATCCTGAGACCTGCTTTGAGACCTGATATGAAAGGTACTATATCAAATATAAGGATGATTATTTCTATTACTTATCTGTCCTTTGCAGGCCAAACTCTCCTGAGTTTACACCCAGGTTTTGGCCTGCTTCCCCTCTCCAATTGGGCTATTTAATTATGCAGCTGCCTTTTCATGGTTCAGTTTGTCTCTTGTACCGAAGAGTGTTCTTATTGATTTGCCAACCTAGTGGGTTTGCCATTATCCAGGATAGTCCTTTCCCTAGGATTCCATCAGGCAAGCTCACCCTGCCACATATGGTTCAGAAATGGTCCAGAAAAGAGGGCTTCGAGTTTCTGGATAATTGGGACCATTTCTGGGGCAGGTGGGACCTGTACCATATGGATGGGTTGCACCTAAACAGGGCTGGGGCGAATGTACTTGCAGACAGGCTATCTAATGCTGTTGGGGAGGGTTTAAACTAGTTTTGAGGGGGGAAGGGAATGCAAAAAATAAAGAGCTAGAAAATGGAGAAATAAAACGGGTAAGTGCAGAACAGGTCAAGTCGGTATTGCAGTGCATGTGCCTAAATGCACGGAGTTTAGCAAACAAGATTGGTGAGCTGCAGGCTCAAGTGGTCATAGGGGAATACGATGCAGTAGCAGTAACAGACTTGGCTCAAGCAAGGACAGGAACGGGATCTGAATATTCCTAGCTACAATGTATTCAGGAGAGATAGGGAAGGAAAAAAAGGAGGGGGTGTGGCAATGTTAGTCAAAGATACGGTTATAGCCGTGGAAAGGGTCGAGGTGCTGGAGGGCCGCAAAACGGAATCTATCTGGTTAGAGTTGAGGAACAAAAAAGGAGCTGTTACGCTGGTAGGGGTATACTATAGACCACCAAATAGTGGGAAGGAAATAGATGAGCAGATCTGCAAGCAGATCTCAGACAGATGCAAGGCCAATAGAGTTGTGATAATGGGGAACTTTAATTATGCCAACATAGACTGGCAAAACAACAGCGCAAAGGGCAAGGAGGGGGAAATATTCCTAAAATGCATATAGGACAACTTTCTTGATCAGTATGTTTCCAGCCCAACAAGGAAAGAAGCAGTGCTAGATCTAGTTCTGGGGAATGAAGTAGGACAAGTGGAGCAGGTTTAAGTGGGAGAGCATCTGGGTAATAGTGATCATAACATCATTAGATTCAAATTGCATATGGAAAGAGACAAGGAACCATCAAAGGTAAAAATATTCAACTGGAAGAGGGCAAATTTCAGTGTGTTAAAAAGCGACCTAGCCAAGGTGGACTGGAAAGAAAGATTAGCGGGTAAAACAACTAAAGAGCAGTGGGAAGTCTTCAAGGATGAGATAGCTCGGGGACAAAATAAATACATTCCCGCAAAACGGAAAAGTAGAGCTTCTAAACCTCCGTGGATGACGAAGGTAATTGTATCTAAAATGAAGCAGAAAAAGGAGGCGTATGACAAATGTCAAACCCAAGATACAGAAGACAACCAAATCGAATAGAGGAAGTGCAGAAGAGGTTTGAAAAAGGAAATAAGTGGGACAAAAAGATTATACGAAAAAAGGTTAGCAGGTAACATTAAAGGGAATTCTAAAGTATTTTACAAACATATCAAGGAAAAAAGGCTAGTCAAAGGTAGGGTGGGCCAATTAAAGATCAAGGGGGAAATCTTATTGTGGAGGCAGAGGGCATGGCTGATGTGCTGAATGAGTACTTTGCATCTGTCTTCACAAAAGAAATGGATGCACCAAATGCCTCAGTATCGGAGGAGAGGGTAGAGGAAATGGATAGGATAAGTATAAACAAAGAGGAAGTACTGAAAAGGTTGACTGCGCTGAAGGTAGATAAGTCGCCCAGTCCGGACGGGATGCAACCAAGGTTATTATGGGAGGCACGGGTACAAATAGCGGAGGCTTTGGCTACAATTTTTCAATCTTCGTTGGACACAGGAGTGGTGCCAGACCACTGGAGAGTGGCCATTCTGACTCCCCTGTACAAAAAGGGACAGAATGACAAACCTGGGAACTACAGGCCAGTCAGCCTAACATCAGTAGTGGGGAAACTCCTGGAGACTATAATCCAGGACAGAATAAATGTTCACTTAGAAGAATATGGGTAATTAGGGACAGCCAGCACGGATTTGTTAAAGGCAAATCTTGTCTAACAAATCTAATAGAATTTTTCGATGAGGCAACGGAGAGAGTGGATAAAGGTAGTGCAGTTGATGTAGTTTATATGGACTTTCAAAAGGCATTTGACCAAGTGCCACATGAAAGACTTGTAAGAAAGATAGAAGCCCATGGTATAAAAGGCACAGTGGCAGCATGGATCCAGAACTGGCTGGGAGACAGAAAGCAGAGAGTTGTGGTGAACTGCTGCTTTTCTGACTGGAGGTAAGTGTACAGTGGCATCCCCCAGGGATCGGTATTAGGACCACTTGCTCTTCTTAATATACATAAATGATCTGGACTTGGGTATAGAAAGCACCATTTCCAAGTTTGCCATGGAGTCCTGTAGCTCAGTGGTCAGAGCACTCGCTTTGCAAGTGAGAGACCTGAGTTCAATTCCAGACAGGGCGAAACCTTGGGCAAGTTTCCTTACTCCATATGCCTAATAATAATCCCTCCAAAACAAAACAATAATAAATTGGTCATTTTCAATCCAGGACTGTTTGTGGGACATTGCTGTGCGCAATTGGCTGCCGCGATCGCCCACACATATACAGTCAATTCACTTTACAGTGTGTTCTGTGAAGCGCTTTGGGACGTCCTCCGACGTGAAAAGTGCTATATCAAATGCAAGGATTAGTATTATAAGGATTATTATAACAAAAGTTAGGTAGGGTGGTAAACAGTGAGAAGGATAGTAGCCAACTGCAGGAAGACATAGACAGAATGGTAAAATGGGCAGACACATTGCAGATGAGTTTCAATATAGAGAAATATGAAGTAATGCATTTTGGTAGAAAGAATGAGGGGGGGCAATATAGACTGGTAATACAATCTTAAGGGGGGTAAAAGAACAGAGAGACCAGGGGGTGCAGGTAAATGAATCCTTGAAGATGGCAGGTCAGGTGGATAAGGCTGTAAAAAGGGCAAATGGGATTCTAGGCTTTATAAATAGGGGCATAGAGTACAAGAGTCAGGAGGTTATGATTAACCTATATAAAACACTGGTTAGGCCTCAGTTAGAATACTGTGCCCAGTTCTGGGCACCGCACTATAGGAAGGATGTAAAGACATTGGAAAGGGTGCAGAGGAGATTTACGAGGATGGTACCAGGAATGAGGGACCTTGATTATGAGGAAAGGCTAGAGAGGCTGGGATTATTCTCATTGGAGCAGAGAAGGTTACAAGGAGACCTAATAGAGGTCTTCAAAATCATGAGGGGATTTGATAGGTTAGAAAGGGAAGAGCTGTTTCCACTGGTGGGTGTGTCGGTGACTCGAGGTTACAGATTCAAAATAGTATCTAAAGGAAGCAGAGGGGAGGTGAGAAGAAATTTTTTCACACAGCGAGTTGTTCGAACCTGGAACGCATTGCCTGAAAGGGTGATTGAGGCCGATTCGATAACTACTTTTAAAAACGCGGTGGACGGGTATTTGAGGAGGACGGGTTTGCAGGGTTATGGGGAAAGGGCTGGGGAGTGGGATTGACATTAATTGCTTTATTCAAAGAGCCGGCACAGACTCGATGGGGTGAATGGCCTCTTTTTGTGCTATTCTATGATTCTATGATATGCACATATGTAAACATGTATAGATGTAATTACAGGCATTATTAATTATATTTACACATAGAAATTATTAATTCTGTAACCAAACATTGTTCCTGTTCCTTGGTTGGTTGATGTATAATTAAGGGCATCCGTAATTCCATCTGTGACATGTTTGCGCTTGGTTTACATGTGATTCATAATAAATCCAAATCTGTAAAAAAAAACTTACTAAAAGCATTTTGCATTTGTAAACTAAAAATTACTTTCTCTACCCCTTTAAACAAGTATATTATGGATAATGTTAGAACTGGTGAATCAAAACAAAAATGTAATTTTTCATAATTACCTTCAAAGCAAAATCTTTCAAAAGTTTTTTTTGACATGAAGAATTTCAGCTGTTAAACATAGTTGTTTTAGTTGTTGAGGGTTAATGTATTGTTGTTTGTAAGTTTATTTGTTGTGTGTCAGCTGTTTACCAGGCCTCCAGTTTGTGTACTGTGTGATAGTCATGGCAGCTTCATCTTGCATCAGAAATTATAATAATAATCCTTGCATTTGATATAGCGCTTTTCACGTCAGGAGGACGTCCCAAAGCGCTTCACAGAACACACTGTAAAGTGAATTGACTGTATATTTGTGGGCGAACGCGGCAGCCAATTGCGCACAGCAATGTCCCACAAACAGTCGTAGATTGAAAATGACCAATTTAATTATTGTTTAAATTATTGTTTATAAGTGAGTTGATAATATAATAATAATAATCCTTGCATTTGATATAGCGCCTTATCACGTCTTCTTGACATCTCAAAGCCCTTCACAGAATATACTGTAAAGTGAATTGACTATATTTTTGGGGTGAAACACAGCAGCCAACTGCACAGCAGTGTCCCACAAACAGTCGTGGATTGAGTGACCAACTTATTGTTATTTTATTTTTTAATTTAAGGGATTAATACCTCATAAAAGCGATCCGCCGATTGACTTAAGAACTGGGTTCCTATTTACTGCTAAGTTTGCAGAGGCGTATGGAGTAAGGAAAGTTGCCCAGTATTTCGCCTTACCCCGGAATCAAACCCAAGTCCTCTCACTTGTGAGGCGAGTGCTCTAACCACTGAGCTACAGGACTCCATTTTGAAGACTGATGACAACTGTGATAGCACAGTGAGATCCCTTCAGCATCTTCAATTTTTCATGATCTTACTTTTCAATCATCTTTGCTTCCCAAGCAATGTAATTGCAAAATCAGATTTCATTTGTCTCCCATGTTTTGGTAGGTTGGATTGTCACATTGCTTGATATATTTCAGTGCAATTTCACAATCTTTCCCCTAAAACTAACCCCTGTACACCTCTGTTGAAGGATTATCCTTGTTTCAAATAAGTAAAATGTCGCTTGTGCTTTTCAAAGAAGGTGTACTTGCTTGAGTAGATCATCTTTTGAATATTCTCAGATTGTGCAAGCTTAATGAAGAAGTGTGTACAGTGCCGTGCTGTGGTGGAGCGAAGGGTGCCTTTCATCATGTGTTGTGGTGGAAAAGGTGTAGAAGATTCCACTGATGAACTAAGTGAGTGATTTCTTCTGAACTAACCTGATGTCATTTTTATCTATGAAATATGCCTTTATTTTTTGACTGCAAAACAAACCTCAATTTTCACTGAACTATTTTCCTCATATTTGGAATCTTACATTGATGTGTACACAATGCAGAGACTTCCTTTTAAACGTTATCAAAATTTGAATTGGTGGAGAGTTGAATGCAATTTCTAATCGCATAAATCAAATCCTTTGTAATACCTTAAATGCAAGGCTGTGATTAGGTTTGCATATACTGTGTGAAAGGTTTCAAATATCATTCTTAATTAAAAATTTCAGTTTTACTGCAGATTGTATTGCACCACGACAGACTATCTCTCTGTATCGCACCTACTCCCAAACCCCTTCCACATCAAAACTTCATTCATTTCTTTCTGGAAACTGCTCAGATTATCTGCCTCCCTGAGCAGATTGTTCCATTTGTTAACCATCCACTGTGTAAACTGTATTCGTTCTTCCCATCTCAGCTTGATGCCAATGATCCCTTGTTGTGGACATCTTGACCATATTCAATAGAGTATCGTCTAGAACTTTTACGGTCCTGAAGACTTAAATATGATGACTGCTAAAATAGACTCTTCTCCAATGAGATGAGCTTCTGAAATCTCACAGCTCAGTTGCCCCTTCATGTATTAATTAAAAAATAAATAATAATGCTTGCATTTGATATTAGTCTTTTGTGTCAGGAGGACATTTCAGAGCACTTCACATGGTACACTGTAAGTGGAGTGACTTTGCATTTTGTGGATGAACTTTTGTTTTCTGTATCTGTGATTTTGTTTGATTGTTGTACACTGTTGTAAGTAATTGCACTTGTGATCAGCATTGAAATGTATTCTAGATCTGCTGGTGAGTTAGTTAGTAAAGGTAACAAAGAATTAATGAGCAGCTTTCAAAGTCTGTTGACAAAAGATTGGTGCAGTACTCCTTTATGACCACACAATGTCACTAATGCTTTAGAAATACTGGAGCGCAACACGTAAATTGTGTCTGTGCTCTCTTTTGGCACAAGTTTAGTTGTCAAGAACTGACCAACTTAACAACGTGTATTTGCAGCACGGGCGTAAAACAAATCATGTGTAAATTGGTAAATATATTCATGGGAACCCTGTTATAGTGCTTGTTACTCTGTACTAACCAAAAGCACCCGCGCAGTCCATGATGTTAGGTTCCTGCTGTGGTCATATCTTGCACACTATGGGTAGAAAATGCCACCAATGTCACTTTGCGAAGAAAGTGACATCAATGGCACCTCTGGCACTGAAAGTGATATTAGTGGGGCCCTCTGTGCTCAGCTTGCAACCAGCAGGAACCCATGCCAGTGGTGACCTGACAATCTGGAGGTCGGCCTTTTTCCATGCCTCGTTTGTACCATGGTCGCTAAGACGTCGGACTGATAATAATAATCCCTCCAAAACAAAAAACAATAATAAATTGGTCATTTTCAATCCACGATTGTTGTGGGACACTGCTGTGCGCAATTGGCTGCCACGTTTCGCCCACAAATATACAGTCAATTCACTTTACATTATATTCTGTGAAGCACTTTGAGACGTCGAGAAGACTTGAAAAGTGCTATATCAAATGCACGGATTATTATTATTACCGAGGCTTTGCTGTACTCTTGAAGATTTTGCTGTAAGTTTAGTAACATTATAACCAGGACTGCAATTATTTCTTGCTCCCAAATAGTGGTTTCCCTACCCACCTCAGACTAAATCAGTTGCCCTCACTTGGCTTCATCCTAAGTACCTACATTTTTTGTCCAATTTAACTTGAGCAGTATTGTTGCTACAAATCCTTTTTTCTAGAAAGCAATGATAAAGCTACATTTTAATGTTTTTTGAAGGATTGGATAAATTATTACTTTTTTGTAGAAAATCTCTTTTTCTAGTTTTTCTTGTACAATAGAGAGCAGATTATTGGCACGTATTGGGACTGGCCCCGTTATGGAAAAACAAACCATGTAGATAATTGGTCATTGTACAAAATACAAATTATAATAATAATAATCCTTGCATTTGATATAGCGCTTTTGACATCTTCTAGGCGTCTCAAAGCGCTTCACAGAATATACTGTAAAGTGAATTGACTGTATATTTGTTGGCGAACACGGCAGCCAATTGCGCACAGCAATGTCCCACAAACAATCGTAGATTGAAAATGACCAATTTAATTATTGTTTTTTGTTTTGGAGGGATTATTATTAGGCGTGTGGAGTAAGGAAACTTGCCCAAGGTTTCGCCCTGCCTGGAATTGAACTCAGGTCTCTCGCTTGCAAAGCGAGTGCTCTAACCATTGAGCTACAGGACTCCAAATTGACCGCGGTTGGAAATTAATCAAGAAACTGAGTTCTTGAGCAGTTCATTTGCATTGCAGGTAGTGGAAACATTACACCTTTTCAGCGAGATAAAGACAATACCAACGTTAATGCAGATGTGCAGAAGCTCCAGCAGCAGTTGCAGGACATCAAGGAACAGGTAAAGTGTCACTTAACATGGAATAATGGCATTTGGGGATTAATTACTCTAACCACTTAAGAAAATCAAATGCTTAAGGGGGGAGTGGTAAAAGGTAAGGAGAAAAGATCATGTTTGTGTGTGTGTGTGCTCTGATTTAACATGTAGGCTTTTATTTTACTTCAATGGAAATGTCATATCAATAACACATGTACGACTAAGCCCTTGCCTCTTGAAAACTACTAGTTTAGAGTTTATATTGTGGTTGGACTTGTTCTTCCAATGTGGTTATTTTTTTTCTTCAATCCTGATTCTGGAAAAGCTACTTTTAATGAGTGACAATACAGTGTATTGACCAGAATTATTTTCCTGATCATTTTTTGTTTTTTTAGTGGTCATTAAGAGGAGCAATGCACCTTATAAGGGTCTCATTATCCTCCTAATAATTTGGTCCATATCCTATAATGTGTGGAGAATATTGAGAATAAAGAAAGATTATCTGTTTTGTAATTTGCCTTCAATGTTTCAGTCCTTTCAGAGAGCACAGATCCGTTAAGAAAAGAATGAGAACTATATTGGGTTATACTTATAACCTCTTGAGAAAAGCCTAGTAACACTTTTCAGTAATGAGTTTTGTCAAACTTACAAAAGAAGTGGTGCGTTGCACAATTGCTTGTAAACTCTCAACTTATTCCATAGTATAAGACAGCATAGTCCAACTGGTGGCCACAGGTCGCATCCGGCCCGATGCGTGATTTTATACGGCTCAAGACCATTTCCAACATTTCAACGTTCCTTCCCTCCTGGTGAACATTCTCCCAGTGCAGCACTAGGAGCCGGTAGTTGGGAGGATGCAGCGTGGAGAGTGAAATTAATGCTGGCTGTTGCTGCAGTCTGCACCTGAGTTGAGGGGAAGGGAAGAGCGTCTCCTTATCCGCCGCATCCTTGGCAATCATTGACTCCTGCTGCTGCATATAGTGGGAGAGAGGGAGAAGGGGGAGAGAAGGATTGAGTGAAAGAGAGACTGAGAGGAATTGAACAAGAGGGATTGAGCAAGTAGGGGGAGAGGGGGGAGAGAGAGTGAGCAGAGAGATGAGAGAGTAATTGAGAGATAGGGGGAGAGAAAGTGATTGACAGAAAGGAGGAGACAGAGTGATTGAGAGAGAGTGAGAGGGGGACAAAGTGTGTGTGTGCAAGATTGAGATGAGAAAGGGAGAGCGACAGAGAATGTGAGGGAGAGCGAGAGAGAATGAGAGAGTGTGAGAGGGAATAGAAAGAGCGTGTGTGGCAGACAGTAACTGAGAGATGGAGCGTGCATGTATGAGAGAGCAGGGAGGAGAAAGTGATTAAGAGGGCGGAAGAGAGTGTTTGAGAGGGGTGAGAGGGTGTTTCGTATTTCACTGTCAGGACAATGGGGGGGAAGAGTGACATGCCGTGCAGTTTCCTCTCAGCAAGCTCCCTGTTTCCCCAGTTAAAAAAAAACTTATGTTCTTCATCCCCCCCTGCCCACCCTACCTCTGTGACCTCCAGGCCCGGCCGTTCCATTGCAGAGTAAACACCAGCTTGCTTCATGTCCCCCCATCTCATCTGCCTACCATCGCCAATGCCCGTGCTCTCGAGTTTCAATCCTGGAGTCCCTCCAACCTCGTTCCCCCTCTCCCCACTTTCAAGGCACGTCAAGACCTAAATCTTTGATCATGCTTTCGATCATCTTTTCCCATCCCCATTTCTCCTCTCTTGGCTCCCACCCCCACCTCAGATGCCCAGCTGACAGTGTCAAACGCTTTGAGATGTCCTTCTAGATGAAAAAGATGCTGTGTAAATGTTATGTTTCTCGAAAAGAAACACAAAATATTGCTTATTCAGACCCCACTGGTATAAGGCAAGAAATGACATGCAGTGTAAAAGCAGTCTGAACAGTCGGTTACGTTTAGTTTGTTTGTTCTGGATATGTTAAATATTTTAAAATAAAAAAAGTTTATAACGATTGCTACTGTGTTCTGTTTCAGACCATGTGCCCTGTGTGTCTGGATCGCTTGAAGAACATGATCTTCCTTTGCGGACATGGCACATGCCAGCTTTGTGGTGATCGAATGAGTGAATGTCCTATCTGCCGTAAAGCTATAGAGCGTAGGATTCTGTTGTATTAAATTGAAGAGAGTATTGCCTGAACGCAACAAATTCTTACAGCAATCTAACCTTTATCATCTTTGAAATAAAATAATTTTAGGCAGTTGTGTTCTATTTGTGCTATGATGGCTGGATTACCTTCAAACTGTAAAATATTCCCTTAATTTCCCCTCAGGATTTTAGGGAATTGCAACGCAGAGTAATTTGTATGGAAGAAAATTGTTTTCACTGGCAGTCATCAGAAAGCTTTATCATAAAGATCTTTTGTTTTGGGCAGTGGATTGCATTTTGGCTGTAGCAGCTTTTGACATTTAACTCCTGACCTGTATGATTATGTTCCCAAAGAGGATGAAAGGCTCAATAGGTTCAGTCGGGGAAAAAAGAAAGTAAAGTCCTCGTTTATTGTGCAAAGTAAGAAAAGGTACAGAAAGCAGTGTGTTAAATATTTGGGTTGGTATCTTCAAAAGAACCCTGAAGCACTTGATACAAATTCTAAGTGTTTGTTATTACTATACATACAGGGAGATTTTCTGATTTTGTTTAATTTTAAGCTCACATCTCCAAGTTTGGTCACTTAAACAACCAGAGGAGAAAAGGGTGCACTTGTCCACTATTCCCAATAAATTCATCCCCTTAATTTTCTGCAGTGACTTAGCTTCATACATCAATACCTGGAATATAATTCAGACCCTTTCGAAATGGTCTCGGCACAAGTCAACCACTTATACACTCAGGCACCAGATCATTCCTCAGAGTGAATTTTAGCAATCCATTTGAAAAGCACATAGAATTAATGGAATACAGATACCATTTAAAGATTTGAGTTTTAAGGTTCAATTAACCTTTCTCTTATATTAATGATTTTTTTAAAAGCTGAGTAACACTTCAGCAAATTAATGTGATATTACATTTCATAGTGAGAAAAGCTATACTATGTTTAAAAAAAAGCTTTGTATATATCAGGATTTTTAACATAAATCAACTTCCATTTTATCAGTTAAAATTGACTCCCATAATATACATAGGTGTACGTTATGTTTCTTCCTGCTGAACATGTCTTCCCAAAGAAATCTGATTGACTGCTAAGAATCTCCTATGTCAGGGAACTTTGAATTAATTGATAGTCTAAGTAGGTTTGTATCTGAAAAAGTAGATGGAGTTGGAGGAATTAGTGCAAGGTTGAGAGTGACATGGGCGATATTAGCATGTGTACTGGTTGGTGTAAGTTGGAAAATTAGTAGGAAAATACATTGGTGTTCTTAGTAACCATAACTTGAAAGTGGTTGAAAATTTCATTTTTATAAGACCAAGACCTGTGGAGTTTTGGCTTCTTAAATCTGCATATATCTATAAAGCCCGTTGAATTCATAAGTGTTGTAATATGTGTAGTGTCTTAAGTTCACTTTTGTTTCTGGAGAGAAATCACCCAAGTATTTTTCCATCTTCCAATATTCTTGTGCAAATATAACCAGTTTTCATATATATTGATCAACCTAGAGAGGTATTGCAGCATTTTGGGCATTTTTTTCCTGGCTGTGCCAGTGTCCTTTGGTAGCATATGGCAGTGAGCAAATATAGATCTTCCCCTAGCCTTGATTAAGTGCCTAGGCTTTACTCAACAAGTCTACTAGACTGCCTGGTTGAAGTTAGGACTGTGCAGAATTATAGTATGGATAGTCCCACCACCGCAGTGCAGTAGTATACTAAATGACTTACGTCACAAGGTTGCCCATTTGCAGTCCTTAATTGTGAACCATTTTATCGGTGTAGTCAATTCACTGGAACACCATGACTTGAAGAGGGTAAGTTTTAGAATGTATTTTGGAGTATATTGTACAATATTTGATTCGGGATGGAAAGTGTGGGTGGTGGTGGCTGGTGGGTTGTTTTGCATTGTAGGTATTATATATGACATTGTAACTGGCTGTTTTAACACATTGCCAGAGCAGCTGATTGTTGTCTTATATGCCATATTGATTTCTGCCACTAAAGGTTGCTTACACTTTTGTATAATTTGCTTAACAGCTGATGGTTCCAGAAATCTGGTGTTGCATGTTAGGCTTCAAGAACCGGGGATGTAGACTTTGTTTGCACAAGAGCAATGCGGCTTTTGAGCATCAATGCCAATTTTAAATCAAATGGCAGGTGGATGAGAAAGCAATGTCCAACTGAGGGTTGTGGAAGTGAATCAGGAAAAGTGCTGAAGCAGAATTTTCAACTCGTTACAATTTAATAAGCTTATTATGTTTATGTATAAACAACTTCATTCTCTGTCTTGTCTGCATAGAGTGTGCATCTGATCCTTTTGCCACTGATTGGTTATGGATCAGAAAGTGCAGTTAAAGAATTTCTATCATTTTCTGTGACTTGTTTTTTTAAAATCATACTGGGCTGTCTGAATCCATTTTGAAATCCAAATTGCAAGTGAATGCATTGCAGGTTGCAGAACCTGAAGTTGAGCATTGTAATTTCTGAAATTAGTCTCTACTATACTACAGCAGCAAATATGAATATTAATGTCTGTATCTTGTGCCTTGTTGATTATTAAGTTGATTTAATACAGACTTGTAGATTATACAGTCTGTAGTAACTATTTGAGTATTTAGTAAATGTATTATATTGTTTTTTCTGAGATTTCAATGTTACAATTGCTTAAACAGTTGTAAAGCAGAATTTGCTTAGTATGGTTGTATTATAAAAGCTATCTAAAATGATTTGCATGTACTATTAAAATGGCCGAATAATTGTCAGTAACTTAACTTCAAGGTTAGCTTTCTAACACTAATATCTAAAATTAATTTGTGTAATTCAGATGATACAAAAAAGTCAAGATACAAAATAAGCTAGTGAAAAGAGCATAGGAGCTATACAATAGCAGCATTTTTTTAAAAAAAACCTTGTTTTATTAGTAAAAAAAAGATTTCAAAAGCCAGTTCTAAACTAAATTGATAGCTATAAATTAATAAGCTGAAGATAGGGAGGCCTTACACTCACTTAATGATCGGTCTGCACCTATTGTTGGCTTACCCATGTTACGCATATATTGATGTGCCATAGCAATATTCCAAGATTGTAGCTTTGCGACCATCAGCTTCTCTTTCCAGTTGGATGGCAAATAGCCATGCAAATTGCTAGGTTTGGGGGAAACATACATCAGCAGCTCCTTGCAGCCAAACAGGCCTAAAGTGGGAGAGGGCACTTAGTTTGTACTATGAATCTATCACTTACAATAATCTTATCAGATAATTCAAGGTGAGATGGGATGCATTTCAAAAGTTATAAACTTCTGCTTTTTTTTGTATTTGTTCGTAATGCTTTTTAGATATAACTGCAGGTTTGCCTTGTCTATATTTTGTGTAGAATGTTCATAAGCAGTGAAATGTGTTCCAAATATTTGGCTTCAAGTAGCTAAATGAAAGCAACAACTAGCTGCAGAGCAAGACTGCCTTTGTCTTGTATTATTCTTATTTATTTAGTATTTCTCTAACTACAAATCAGATTTAGCATCTTTTTCTGTTGTGCGCTTATTCCTCAAAAATAAGTTTGGGACACGCATGGCAACTTGTATTACTTTATTGTGTTATGCTAAAATGAACCTGTTCATAAAGTTAATGTGTAATTTTTAGCTAAATAGTTCAGTTATTTTAATGCTATATAAGTAAATTGATTTGCTTATATTTATATAATGAAATCTCTTAACGTTTTTGCTAAATTGATTGAAATGCACGGTTATTAGATTACTTCATAAATTGTCATTCAAATATTGGTGACTGCTGGATAAGTGGACATTTTGGATTTGACTTTCCATTTACAAAGCGGAATTCCCCATGATCTGCTTTGTTCATAGAATCATAGAATTATACAGCACAGAAGGAGGCCATTCGGCTCATCGTGTCTGTGTCGGCTCTTTGAAAAGAGCTGTCCAAATCAATCCCACTCCCCCGCGCTCTCCCTACAGCCCTGCAAACTTGTCCTCCTCAAGGAGTTTTTTTTTCTAAAGTTCTCTTTTTAAAAATTGGCTCTAAAAATTAGGCGGGTTAGTTTTGAAGCATTTGTTTATTAAAAGGGCAACTCCTGTCCAGCACGTCTGCTTATCCTTACTTTTTAATACTGGGTGTTGTCTAAATGCAGCAGAACTATGCTTTATCATTGATTTTAACATAATGAGGCCAAAACTTGATAAATAAAGACCATTCATATGCCTTGGACAAACAGCCTGACATTTCAAATCAAAGTAAACAAGAATGTACCAATGTGGGGAAATCTTAATACTGACTTACACTAACTTGTGGGAAAAATTTTACACTTGTTCTTTGTATGTCTGTAATTAATGCCAGTGAGCATTTTGTAAGTGGTCTGAAAGTTGAACTGTGCCTACTGTATGAATGCAAGAGGTGCTGAACACCTTATCATTGAGGACAAAGGTGATGCTTTTTATTTAATTAGCACGTGGATGGTTGTCTCCTATGAACTTATGTCAGTTTAGTGTGAAAACTAGATTTTAAAAAAAATTGTGTATTTCCACTTCAAGTGATTACCAATATTTTCCACTTCTTACATGTATCTCCATATCCAGAATGGAAATTAAAGCAGTAACTTAATTCTTTAACTTGAATTTATGAACAGTAAAAGTTTAGATAAAATACATGTTCTGAATTTGGCCTATTTCAGGCCTGAGATACAGCACATTGTTTTGCAGCAGCAAATTAATTGTTAATCTGAAAGGAAACTTGAGAGTAAACCACTATTTTGTTTCTGATCATGGATACATGGTGGTGTTTCACACATCTTTAACTTCTCTTTACAGACTATAATTTTGTATATTTTAAGCAAGGCCTGAAATTAGTTGACTAAACTACCTTTTGTCCTATATATGTATATCACTGTGTCTGTATAATATTGAGTAATTTCCACATTAAACAAATTGGCTTGAATACTTACCTTTGTCTAGGTAATGTAAAGTATAATTGTTTGGGATTTTTTTTCTAAGAGAGAAATGTTTAAAAATCCATGTATTGTAATATATTAAATGTTCATCTAAAACTCTTTAGCAGAAGTTCTCACCCTCACTAGGCTCCACACCCTGGCCTCACAAAGCTGTACTAGCTCCCTGTACCTCAGCAGATCAACTTTTAATTGTCGTGACCTTCAAATCCATCCACTGTTTTACCCCTCCCTAATTATTCAATCTTGAACACTATTGTGCCTGTACCCTTCGGCTCTTCCAGACCTGATTTGTTACTTGGTCTCCAATCCTTCCTTCCTATCTCTTGCAAATTTCCCTTGTCTCACTTTCTCACCCCTACCTTCAATTGCTCTTAAAAAAAACATCTTTTTGTTTAAGCATTAGAGTGAACAGCATAGAGTTATCCTCAATTCAGTGTCAAACAATCTTGCTTATCGAGCTGATGTATGTGGGTCATGCACTTGCTAAAGAGTGGATTACGCTGGGGTTAAGGCATATTGTTGAGTCAGTGTTATACATTGCTCTAAACGCAGGAGATGTAACTCATTAATGAGAAGTAATAGCACTGGAGTGAGTGGAGCTAGCAACATTCTATGTAATCACAGATGTTTGATGCTGCAAGAGCACTCAACCAGAGCAATCTCTGGCAATACCTAACTTTGGTTCAGGATCTCAGCTGCTGGCCGGCCCTTCTCAAGAAACATCCAAAGAATAAGGTACAACTCGCTGCAAGTTTACCTACAATCTAAAGTTCTCCTGAATTGGTGAAACTGCTCTGATCAGAAGACTTGCTGCCTCAGTCTTTAACTCCACTAAAATGTAAAAAGGTTCAAGTTTGTTTTCTTGGCTCCAGCTGGAGCTTGTATCTGCAGAGAAGACACTTTTTATTTGACTTGAATTAATTCAGTAATGTTCCTGATAAATGTTACACAAAGTAACCAATCTAGGGCAAGAGTGTGTGTTTCCTGAAAGAGTTTGCAAGGTCAACATCAGAGTTTTATGAAGTTTTTGTCCGGGGCACGATTCCAAATCAGGATGGATCTGTATCAATCTCACAAAATCACGCTTATCTACTGACCAGTAACATTAATGCTGCAGTCAGTTTCCCGTATCTTTAAAACAACTCTCGCACATAGATAACATGCAACCTGACACCATGATCCTTTATTGGTACTTTGTCAGTGGCAGCTCAATATCTTGCTTTGCAGGGGGCATTTGTGTGAAGTCGTTTCATAGAAAGTACAGCTCAGAAACAGGTCATTCAGACCATCCAGTCTGCCTGGTGCTTACACTCCACACAAGTGTCCCTGCCAGATTCACACGGGTCTCCATCCTAGTTTTACTATTAACCTACAGGTGGCATTAATCACATCCAGGCTCGACTATGCTATCTCCCTGCTCATTGGCCTTCACAACTGTTCTCTCCGCGAGTTGCAGATCATCCAGAATTCTGCAGCTCATGACCTCTCTCGCAACAGGCTTCATGACACTTAACCCCATCCCCAGAGGGTAGAGTTTAAAATCCTTGTCCTTGCCTTCAAAGCTGTCCACAGCCTTGTTCCTCCCTGCCTCTGTGACCTGCTAACTCCACATCGAATTGTCTGCTCCCTCTGCTCAGCTTGTTCCATGTCCCCCACCTGGTTCGCCCCACCATCAGAGCTCAGGCCTTCAGCCTCCTTGCCTCCCAACCTAACATAACATGTAGGAGTAGGCCATTCGGCTCTTCGAGCCTGCCCCACTATTCAATCATGGCTGATGTTCTAATCTAACTCCAGCTAATAACCTAACCCTGCCTTATCCCCATATCCCTTAATCACTTTTGCAATAATAAATCTATCTATCTCAGTCTTGGATATGTTCAAGGACTGAGTGTCAACAGCCCTTTGGGGTAGCGAGTTCCATACATTCACCACCCTTTGAGTGAAAAAGTTCTTCCTCAACTCAGTGTGAAAGGGTTGGCCTCTGATTTTAAGGTTGTGACCCCTGGTTTTAGTTTCTCCAACCAGGGGAAACAATCTCCCACTATCTACTCTATCATGCCCTTTGATGATCTTATAGGTTTCTATAAAATTCTGTCTAATTCTTCTATATTCTAGAGAATATAGGCCCAAATTGGTCAGTCTATCCTCGTAATTCATCCCAACTCCATCCCACAGTCCCCCTTCACCTCACTCCCTTGCCTCCTTCAAGGAGCGTCTGAAGACCGACTACACCTTTGGTCTCCCTCCCTGCTCTCCACCCTTCTTGACCTCCAAATCTTTTAACTGTACAGCCTTGAGACATCGTCCTATTCATTGATGAATCTGAATAATAGTTAACACAAGGATAAGGTTTAGAAGTGATAGCGGCGTTGAAATTCCATGTTGATGTTTACACATGCGTGAAGGACACTTAGGTGAGATACCAAAAAGTGGAGAACTATATCTCAAAGAAAGAAAAAAAATCAATTACCTTCAGAAAGGGGGAAAAACTGCAAGTAAAAAGAGCTCAAGATAGTAGTCGGGTTTGACCCACCCAGATGTTGTCTCATCCTTTTTACTAAAACAGCCACTAATACTATTCAGTGTGGTCACAATTTATTCTGGGGAACAAAAATCATGCTATTTTCTCTTTGGTGGCAGACAAAATTAATTTACACAAAGTACAATAATGTGAAGCATAGCATTTTTGCTCTGGTGATCACAATTGAGTACTGTAGAAAATTGATGGTTCTTGTAGAAGAATACTCCTGCCTTGGAGAATATTAGAACAAATTAATTTAATTATAATCTATATTTACTGTAAATGAGAAATTATGTCACTGAAATAGCTCCTTTTTTATATTCCTAGTTACAGCTTAGCTCATTTGATAGCACTCTTGCCTCTGGGTGAGAAGGTTGTGCCTTTGAGCCCCATGTTGGGACTTTGAGCTTACAGTCTAGGCTGACAATCCAATGCAGTGCTGGTGGGTGCCTGGTTGAGTGGTCATGGCACTTTCTAAACAGAAGAGAGTTTCTTCTGCTGACCTGGCCAACAATTCCCCAAGTAAAATTGGTCAGTTACTTCATGGCTGTGTTCAAAT